GAGGCAACTATACAGATAAGTATGAGTTCAATAAATTCCAACATATGGAAATTGGGGTAATTTTAATAAACAGGACCGATGGGACAAAGTGCAAAAGAATACATGTTTATAGGTGTGGCAGAGTGGCTTTGCTCACTTCCATCCATGTTTTTGGGGTGTTCTAAATCAGGTGGCTTTCCATCTAGGCTCCCCCCTCCCACTGTGTGTCACCAAGCTGTGATTAATTACCGTACGTCCCTATCCTTTTTTCCTCGGCGCTCGTACGTCCCTATCCTTTTTTCCTCGGCGCCCGTACGTCCCTATCCTTTTTTCCTCGGCGCTCGTACGTCCCTATCCTTTTTTCCTCGGCGCCCGTACGTCCCTATCCTTTTTTCCTCGGCGCTCGTACGTCCCTATCCTTTTTTCCTCGGCGCTCGTACGTCCCTATCCTTTTTTCCTCGGCGCTCGTACGTCCCTATCCTTTTTTCCTCCGCGCCCGTACGTCCATATCCTTTCTTCCTCCGCGCCCGTACGTCCCTATCCTTTCTTCCTCGGCGACCGTACGTCCCTATCCTTTCTTCCTCCGCGCCCGTACGTCCCTATCCTTTCTTCCTCGGCGACCGTACGTCCCTATCCTTTCTTCCTCGGCGACCGTACGTCCCTATCTTTTTTTTTCTCGGCGACCGTACGTCACTATCCTTTCTTCCTCGCCGACCGTACGTCCCTATCCTTTTCTTCCTCGGCGACCGTACGTCTCTATCCTTTCTTCCTCGCCGACCGTACGTTCCTATCCTTTTCTTCCTCGGCGACCGTACGTCTCTATCCTTTTCTTCCTCGGCAACCGTACGTCTCTATCCTTTCTTCCTCGGCGACCGTACGTCTCTATCCCTTTCTTCCTCGGCGCCCGTACGTCCCTGGCCGTTTCTCAATACCTAAAACGGCGAGAACGGACTCGCGTTCCCGCGAGAATAGACTCAGGAGACAGACTCGGGAGTCCTGACTCACGGGTACGGGAGAACGGAGAACGGACATTTCCGCAATTGGAACAGCAGCTGACTTGATGACGTCACCACAGTAGGCGGTCTTTGTTTACGCACGCAAGTGGAAATGTATAAAAAGCCAGCAGCGTGTTGTGGAAGGTGTTTGTTGAAATTGCAAAAGTATTCTGATTGAGTAGCTGGCAACGAAGAGCACAATAAAAACATATTGGTATTATTATATTTAATAATTAATTAATTTGAGTAGTAACTGCATGGATCCGTACTTTAACATATTTAACTAACGTTAAATGACCGAAAACTAACAGATTAGACGTCATACAAAGCAAAACGAATTGTATGTGTCATGTTTAACTGCTACTTTAATACCAGCATCACATTAAAAGATGATTCTCGAGAATAGGCGGCTGGAATGAGCGCTGACCGCCCGGTGCGCGAGAGGTTACGTTATAACGGCTCCGTTAGATTTGGAGGCATTTTTTTTAAATAGGCTGAATGTTGACCACACATTTGTTCCTTAAACCGCTAACTTGTATCCTTAAAAAGTGTTCACATCACATTCCGTTAATTAACAATAGTGGTATTTAATAAAAGACGACTTACAGTTGTGCGTTTTCTCATCTGCCATCGCAGCTTGCTGAGGTGAAATGCATTCTGGGATATATGTCTCTCACAAGAACAGACGAGCCTGCTTCGATGCATGCCCGGTAAAATGGGCGGGGCGAGTCACATCCGGGTATTATGACCGTTCTCGGCCAGATGCGGACTTGAGAATTGGAACAGTACTCGAGCTGCGACTGATGACGTTTCACGAGTCCATGAGAACAAAAGTCCACACAAGAACGCATATTGAGAAATGGCCCCTATCTTTTTTTATCGGTGGTTTGGAGAAGTCCGGGGTCACCAGTGCCGGTCTCGAACACAGCGCTCCCTTCAGGTCCTGGAAGGCTTTCTCCATCTACTTGGTCCACGTCCCCTGGTTGGGCAGGCGGCTCCTGGTCAAATCTGTCAAAGGGCCGGCTAGGGCAGCAAAGTGAGGGATGAATCTACGATTGTAGCTAGTCAACCCCACAAATGTGCGTACCCGCTTCTTCGTACGGGCCTTTCTTCACTTGGTTTGGATATTTCATTCACCTTTCTAAAATCATTACAGAAGCCTGTCCAGTGGTCAGGTCGTGATAGGTCTTCTGGGCTGAGCCTTACAGAAATGGTGCTAGTAGGCTGGCCCATTGCTCCCGGGGCCACTTCTCCCTAGTTTCTGTCCTCTCAAAGGTTTGGAGGTAAGCCTCAATGTCATCTTTTTCTGTCTGCTTTACTATAAACAAACTATGTTTGGGATGGGGAACAGCTAGGCCGGCAGCTCCTTCCACCTGGGATGCCATCAGCTGGCTGAGTTCAGCTCGCAGGGGAGCAGGCTGACGACGCTGTTCCTCAATCAACTCTTAGTGCCTTACTTGCTGAGCTAGGTTTCGCCTCCACCAACTGTTTCACCAATGTTTCCATTCTGCTTTGTGTTCGGTTAATTAGTATGCTTGGTCCAATTTGCCCGCATCCTCCACCATATGTGGCAAGCCCATGGGTGGGGACTTCCACGTCATGGTTTCAAGGACTCAAGCCAGTCACAGGGAGCAGTGGAACACAGTTTATTGATAATTAATTGAGTGTGTGGGAGGATATGCTCCACGCCATATCACCCCTCGCTTCTTCTTCTCCTTCTTCTCCAAAATAAGGAAGGAGGTGATTAAACTCTGGCACAGGTGTTGTTACTACTCCCATAAATATTGACTCAATAATATCAATAATAATATATCAATCATTTATGCATTTGTAAGATGTATCTCCACAAATGCAGTTAGTGCACTCTTTGTACCTCACACGCTTTGTACCTCACACCAGGTCACTGTCCCGATGTTTTTCATTTTGTGTCCTGTTTTATCATTTATATTCTCTCGTCTCCTGTGACTTTTCATTTCCACCTTTTATTTCCACATTGAGGGCACTACTCACCTGCCCCTCACTTGCCCCTCAATCAGTCTGCCCCATTTATACACTCCCTCTTTTCCCTTTTCCCTGCCTGGTTGCCTTCGTTCTACAATGGGAGTCCAGTGTTTTCCAGCAATTTTTCCACGGTGTTTAAACTGTCATTTTATTTTCGGTTTCCTGTCTGGTTCTGTTTGTTCCGACACCCGACGTTTCACTGCCTGTTTCACTTGGTCAAAACGCAGCTGAGTGGACAATTGTAAATGTGAAAAAAGACGGTTGGGAAATATGTCGAGAGCTGCGGCCTGGTACGAAATGGTTGAGGACTTCTGCCATGGAGGATCCGTGCGTCGTATAGGCTCCCTGCGTATTTTTATTTAGGAGGCTACGGAAATGATCCAAATAGATTAATGTTACATAACCTTTTATCAGTTTAGCGAGCAACAAAAGCCATAGAAAGGCATATCTGCTTGTCCGTGCTGCTCCAATGAGTCAAAAATCCCTGCTGGGAGTTGGCTGAGATCCCTGCGTTCTGTACTTTTACAGTCATCAGTTTTAAACGCCATGCTGACACTCCGATGCTCTGCATTACACTGGGGCCAGAAAAGCTGTAAAAGCAGAATTTAGATAAGGATCAGATTTTATTGGAGAGCAACAAAGAAGCTTAATATATTTTATGATGTGAAATCAAGTCTGCTTCTATCATGTTCTTATGTATTCTGATGTCGACAGACGGCAGAATGTTGACAGACGGCAGAAACTGCGCTTAAGAGCGATGCAAGAAGGCTTTGTTATTTCCTACTCAATCGTGAGGGTTTAAAGGAGCCATTTGGGCAACTAAAGTGACTTTAAAGCGTATATGCGTCCTCGGAGATGATGAATATTTCACATTTTACAACATGTTTTTTGTAGAGGCAGAGGCAGATGCAGCGACTGGTTTGGCCAGGCAGCAGTGCATCAAAGCCAGATGCTACCTGACAGAAACAGAATGCAGTTTTATACCGTGGATTATTGGGGGTTTTGTTGCAAACACCAGTACCAGATCTATCGCTGCTTTGTGCGACACATCACGGCAGGAAAAGTTTCATCAATGGCAATGGCCTCACAAATTCTGTTCATATGCAAATCATTGAAAATAAAAATCCAAATGTTCAGCAAGATCCATCTTAATGTTGACCGCCATTATCTTCGATATTGTGATGATATCCTCACGGGGCAACAAAATAATTCTACTTTTAGAATTTTTCTATAAAACTTTCGGTTCATTTGTTGCTTTTCAGCACAGTTTCTAAATCACCAGACTTTACCAAAAAATTTAAATGTTATCTTTCTACTTTGACGTTTTATGATAGTTTTCTTTCTTCTTAAAACAAATTATTAAAATGTTACAGAAACAAAGGTTTTCATGGAATCAAACAATATCTTATCATTATTCCTTCAATAATGTATTATTATTGTACTATTACTCTTTCCAACTACTGTATATATTGCAGTTTCTCACCAAAACTGAAGCCAGCGTGTAGGATTTCCACACTGACGGTTGTTTACAATGCAACAATGTCGGAGGTTGACAACTAAAAAAAAAAGTCATGATTGCATATTTGAATAAATACTGACGGATAACGATGTGTCAGTTGAACTTTATTTCACACTAGGATGGTTGGCATTAAACAGTTCAATAAATCTGTGGATCATAGATTGACAATAAGCTATTACATCACTAATAAATAACCAGAATCTGTTTGACAATGTTAAGAAAGCAACATTTGAGTAAAGCTTGATGTCGACCTACACATGCGAAGGATCCAGTTACTGTACTTCAACTGTGAGGTATATAGCTAATAAATGAATCACTGCTTCTGAATCGGACACCTACTGTACAGGAGATATAGTAGGTATCAGTGTCGGGACTGAAAACGTTGTACTGCTTTCTAGTCTGAAAAGGTTTAGGATTAGTTTCCAAGGGGCACCACAGAAAGAACTCCTTTATCTTTGATTGGTCGAGCGAGGCATCAATAACAGGGACTGCACGCTTGAACAATATGCCACAAAAGGTGCTTTTACTGCCACATGCTTTGCTCCTTATGCATTTACCATGCCACAGAAGGCCATTGTCATATCTATACTAAAAGCCATCAAGCGCAATGTAGGTTTCATGTGGGTTTCAGTTAGTCAGGCAGACATTTTTACTTGCAGACGGCTGTGTATCTGACATGTGAGAGAACCAACAAACTATGATCTGAAATCTATCAAGTGGGAGAGTGCCCCTCCCACACAGCAGTAGGCCTACACACAAACAGAGAGGATGACGAGTCAAAGGCTTCGCAGCATTCTTAGCTGTTGGATGTAACAAATGTTTTTTTTCTTTCCTTTTTGGACCAACATCTGATTTTTTCCCCTTTTTTTTTCTTCTGCTACAATGCCATTTCTGTGCGGCATAGCAGTCAAAAAGCCGGCTGCGTTTGGATGGCACCAGAATAAAAGACGATAGTGCGACATCAAACGCGCTTTCCTGAAATACAGGAGAAAGATGTCAAATGACTTTTACAGACTAGAAGAAAAAGAAATCTTGCACACAGACCTCGCTTGTAGTCTTCAAGTCGGGGGCTGAGCCACTTGCCGAATGAAAGCAGGATGAGGATACGAGCTTTGTTACTTCTAAAAATATTCCAAAATAATGAGGAGGCTGTGAGTGGGCTCAGCTCCTCCCGTTCTCCTTACCTGCCGTTGGAAGTTGTTACACAGTCAGACGCTTTCAAAAGTTTCTGGGGAGATTTCACGTTGTTTTTTAAAGTAATTTGCCTCCAGCCAAAACATTTGTTTTCCGTCAGCTCTAAACGTAGAAAGCTGAGATGGAAACATGCAAGTCTACCAAAACAAAAAGAGCTGCGAAGATTCTTGTTGCATATTTAAAGTGAAGCCAAAAAAAACAATACTTTTTCAAGAAACACAACAAACCCAGTCAACTCCACAGCTACAATATGATGTGTTAGAAATGTTTCTTACCTACTTTTGCCTCTGTGGAAATGGACATGATGAGTTTCAGCACTATGGCATATAAAGTGCAAAAATGCGGTTGTGCCGAGCTGCCGTTCACAGTGTAGGACGCTGGCGATAATCAAAGAGGCATGGCAACGCTAAAACAATAAAGGGACACATGTAGCGACCGCGCATGCTAAATAACCCATTTCTAGTAGTCGAGTGAACGGTTTGGCCGGGGTGCGGAGGGGGGTGCGGGGCGGGGGGGCTGCTGTCAGTCCGCTGGTGCTCTCTCTCCGCTCGCTTATCAAAATGCTGCCCAAATTACCCTTTTCAGACTTTATTACATTACATAACATTACAGGTCATTTAGCAGACGCTTTTATCCAAAGCGACACACATCACGTTTTTTTCAATATTTAAGACGCTGCGCTACTTGCAGGTCGCTGTGTTGTGCCTGATTCTCAATAAAGTTAAAAAAAAAAAGATTTACGGCGAACGCGTGGCCGTGAAGATACTTATTAACATGTCATTTGCATGAGGAGGAAGGGGCGGGTCCATGTCTGAAAAAGGATCCTTCCACCGACCACCGGAAGAACCGACCACCGACCAATGCAACCTGCCGCTCTGAAAAGGGAACATGCCACCGACCACCGGAACCTGCCGTCCGGACAAAGGAACCGACCACCGACCACTTTTCGCACTCGGCCCTACTGCAAAATAAAGCGCCACCCGGCCCCCTGCTGGCTACAGGGTGGAATGGTCACACCATGCTAAATAAAAGCATCAATTAAATTATTATATTCCTATAAAATACAATGCTCAATCACCATATTGTCTACCCATGACAACAAAACACGTTAACACACGACTGTAAAATCACAAGTGGATAGGTGACTTCACGATGATTACGTCCGGTTCTTGCATGTAGTCTTGACCCGTCTCGTTACACCTGTAACAGACCATTATATTATGATTCTGACAAATTAACTGAACCGTTTTGAAGTGGTGAGATCGTGTTTTTTATATACTGGAGGCCTCTCAATGCAAAACATGTCTCAAAGTAATTAAATATTTAATCTATAAGTGAAAACATGGACTTGGAAAACAGCAGATGAATTGTTCATGACTCCTACAAAAGGTCTGGAAATTGTAAATTCGATTTGTATCATATTGTCAAGAACAATGAATGTATTTAACAAAAATGTACAAAAAAAAATCAAATTGTATAAAAATGTTATTCTAAAGGTTCAATCATTGGCATTTGGCATTTATGGCCAATGTTTCATAATATTAAAGCATTCTTTGCTGTATGAGAATTGATTCATTTCTATTTATACCTTTGTACTTTTATTTTTTATTTTAGGGGTGTTCCTTTTTTTCTCTATTTGCTCTCTGTCACTGTTTTCATCACATTACTGAGCTTTCAGAGCAGTTCTTGTGTTGGTACTGTGTTTATAGTAACAGACAGCAGTGTTTATGAAAGGAAATGGAAGGACACATGAGGTCACATGCTCCATATGGAACAAAGGAGCAATGGCTTCCTGGAGTCTCTTCCCAGGCCGGCTGCAGGTGTTATTTAATAGTCTTTGTCAACTTCCTTTGGCTCCTTTTAAAACGAAGCAATCGGCACCCACAACCTTGCATGACAGGCTTTAATACGCCCGCGAGAGGTGAGCAATGATTCCCCAACCATCTTAAGCATGTTTCATTTGATTATTTATCAGAGAGGCCTGAGGTGACTCAGCAGGGAAAAAATATCATATATATATAAATATAATTTTTTACCCCCCTTCCATAACTCATTGTATGACCCCTCTGGCATAACCTGTGACCGTGGGCTCGACCTGCAGCTTGTCTAATGCTGATTCAGAGGAATCCAGATGACCTGAGGGTCCACAACAGCGGAGCTGTTTGGATGATAGGTTTGGCTGGGTAAGTGTGATTGTAAGTGTAACTGGGAAGGAGGGAAGGCTCAATGGCATCGAACACTTACTTGTGTACCTCCATTAATCACTCTAAGGCCTTCGGACACCCAGCCAATACATACTTCATTCTCATAATCGCCTTCACATTCACCCCAACCCCTCTCACTCACACATACACTCACATATACACTCTCAGAATGGAAAGAGCGCACATTTACCAAGTGAGCGCTAAAGGTGGGACGTGTGGAAGACTAACGGGGCCTATACTCACGTGTAATCCATGTACTTCCAGAGGTTACACAGAAACAGTTTTTCAACTGCTCTTTCTCCACCTTTGTCATTGAATCAGTTTGAATTGTTCCTTCATCTCATCCCCCTTGCAACTTTACCCCCTACAGGGTCAACCAAGAAAAGCATACAGTACATGCATTTTCCATATCAAATCATACCATTTCCTAATAAATATTCATTACAGTGTGGTCATTATATGGGGGCAAATGTTCCCAAGACACAGTGATTCATTTAGAATGGAAGGAGTTGACACTCAAGCTTACAATTTTCGGTGGAGCTTAATTGAGGGCCACTGAATAGTCTAATAGGGATGCTTTCCTCGTTGTACACTGATAAACACACCATCCTGCTTCATTTGATATCTCCATTTATCTAGTCCCTTTTACATACAGTAGGAGTGGATTTATTAATTTACTGCGAGACAGGCATAAGCACAGAATAATTGGCATTCTAGCAAATGTGCCTTAAATGCATACTGAACTAGAATGCCGTACACACACAGGCCCTCTATTATTCAGTGCAACAAAGTTGTCTTTGACAGCAAACAAAGACTTAGTCAGGGTTTTGTTTTGGTGAAAACACCCATTTACCAATCTGATATTTACTAAAATGGCTTTCCGTCGTATGTTTTCATCACTCCGACTGAGGAGAGTGGAAGGACATGCTTTTCAGGTCAGTGGAGACAGTGCCAAGGCCTCTGGCTGGTCATTGGCTCAATCCTCAAACCTGCTGAGTGCAACAGCGCATATGGAAAAGATATATATGACCCATTCAAAGTGGAGTAACACACTCACTGGCCAACTCTCCAGGCAAAATTGGATGTGTTTCTAAAAGTACAAACTCATCTGTTGTCAATCGTTGTTCTGTCAGCCAAAGGGCTGAGGATACTGCGACAGCCAGATGTCCTTCTACCCACCCACATCTGAATTGCTCCTCCTGAGGGAACCAAAAGTAGTCCAAGGCCAGATGGGAAATGTAATCTCGCCAGGATCTGTGTTTGCTTTGGTTCGTCTGCCAGTTAGACATATTTAGCATAACGTCAGGTGCACAAACAGCCGCAACTGGCCCCAAAAAGGAAGACAAGTTTTTCGATACCCTGTATCGGCCATAGTATGCTCCCATAGTTTGCTTCCTATAAAACACATTTTACAGGATTTACTCGCATCTAATGAGTGAACGAGGGGTCACTGATTTCTCCAAAGTTGATCGTAACAGAATAAGTAGTGGGTGAACCCCCCAAATATCGAACTTGGGATTCAAACAACTTTCTTCGAGCAGTGATGTTGCATGCCGGCTATGTATGTGTGTCTGTGTGTGTGTGTGTGTGTGTGTGTGTGTGTGTGTGTGTGTGTGTGTGTGTGTGTAAGAAACGATCTTTCAACACACGTGTCGTTTGGGTATCCTTTAAGGCATCACTGGTGGACTACAACCAGTTTTTTTTATTTCCCCTCGATTAATTTCTTGCCTCCTGTCACTCGTCACAGACCTCCACCTGTAGTATGTGGACATGAACTAAGAAGCTGAGGCTTTGAGAGTACAGCACGGTCAGATTCAGTTGGTTGTCCATGTTACCGATGCATGTAAGCACATGTGGCATTAGAAAACACACTAGAGAAATGAACACTATGATTGTTTTTATGGTGTGATAAAATGCAGCACGCTTGTCAAGATAGTTCAAAACGTATCAACTTTATCAACTAAAACTACTTACTGATACATTCATGAAATCTGGTCTCTGGTGTCAGATCTCATAAGATATTTATAGTTTACAGTTTACAGAGAGTAGAATGAGGTGCTAATCAAACAGGCGAGGATGTAAAAAACGATAGAAATAGTCTGCCACTGATCGTGACAGACTATTTCTACATCATCCAACTCCAAATTAGAGGTTTGTGTGTGTGTGTGTGTGTGTGTGTGTGTGTGTGTGTGTGTGTGTGTGTGTGTGTGTGTGTGTGTGTGTAGGGTGGTGAAGGTGCATAACAAAAGACTAAGTCTGTGGTTTCCTAAATAAGTCAGAGATTTTAAAATGTTTTAATGCAGCTTCCTCCAGAAATCTCCGTAAGATTTTCAGTTCCACCCAGGACTTACGTTTTGCTGCTATCTTCGAAGCCAGAGTAACTTTACCTCACCGACGCACAGGAGCTGCTGGACTACTGCTGCCTTGCTCGGGGAGTTTGTTTGTTATTGGATGGTAACTCCATGTATACTGATATGTAGATAGTCTCTGTTAACCCCCGCCGGAAAGGACTCCGGAGGAAGGAAAGGCAATGAAAATATTTAACACACACACACAAGCGCGATATCTCCATGGACTGAAAACAAACAGCAAGAAGCCATGTCTTCCAGGCACTTCCAGGGTGTCAATGTCTTTACAAAACAGCTTCACTTATAATCTTGGAGTCCAATGGAGCGTCCTGATTTCCAGTTTGTGTGTGTGTGTGTGTGTGTGTGTGTGTGTGTGTGTGTGTGCGTGTTGTACAGAGCTGTGTTTCCTGGGGGAAGACTACTCCATCCTCTGTTTTTACTGTTTATTTTTCTGCTGTACCAGGGGGGCAAGGACACGCTGGAGAAATGTAGTCTAGATCATAACTTCCCTAGGGGCATGTTTTATGATTCTCTAAGGAATGAGAAGGAAAACCTTATATAAAGTTTGAACCCACAGCAGTAGTGTCCTGAGCACTAGTAGAACTGTTTTGTTATTGTTATGTTATGTTATTAATAACTCAAAGGAACCATGTTGTGGTGGGGTTTATTGGCAGATTGAATATTATATTTATAACGATTTAGTTATAGGTGATTATTCATTGACTATTATGTCTTCCTTAGCTTAGAAAAAGCCACGTACAATGGAATGTTAAGAGCGTAAATAGCCTATACTTTGTCAATACAACCATGCTACAACGGACATCTACACAAAAGTGAAACCTAAATCAACGTGCTCTTTTGGCAGGCTCATCCATCACACAAGCCCACCACCCACCATCAGCCACAAGCTCTTAGTTTT